CTCTGTAAATTTTAATTATACTCTTAACCTTGCTAGACAGAGGGTAGGCCCTGTGGGTACAAAAACATGAGCACGGGCTGGGCGTGGTGGCTCACACCTGTAATCCCAGCACTTTGGGAGGCCAAGGTAGGGGGATCACCTGAGGTTAGGAGTTTGAGACCAGGCTGCCCAACATGGTGAAACTCTTGTCTCTACTAAAAATACAAAAATTAGCTGGGTATGGTGGTGCATGCCTATAATCCCAGTTACTAGGGAGGCTGAAGGCAGGATAATTGCTTGAACCCAGAAGGCAGAGGTTGCAGTGAGGCAAGATTGCGCCATTGCACTCCAGCCTAGGTGACAGAGTAAGACTCTATCTCAAAAGAAAAACAAAAACAATAACATCAGCAACAAGATGTCTCCTCCTGTCCCTCCAAACAGACAACAGGGTGTCCCAGATTAGCACAAACTGGGATTTGGAGTCTGGCTATTTGTGGAACTGGTGTTTGTGATTTTGGACGTCTATTCTTGAATCAATAGGCATGAGACCTTTTGTTTTTTGACGGAAGCAGGAGAGATGAGTTTCTTTGGAAGGGCCGAGAGAGGGGCTTGGAGATGGACTACAGTGTCTGGGGGACATGAGTTGTAGAGCCTGGGCCAGAACCAGCCTCCCGCTGTCTTTACCACTTGCCCTTGGAGGGAGAGATGCACAGGTTAAGAGCATCTTATTTCCTCCTCTTTCTTCTCTGGACCAGCAGGAAGAGTGTCTAGAGCCAGGATGTATACTTCCAGATGCCTGCCGTACCCTCCAGCCCCAGCTCCACCCTAGTGTGAAAGGAAAGGCCAGCTGGCACCATTGATAGCTAGCTTGTCAGCCGCAGAACAATCATCCCATTGATCAAGGAGGCTGATTTTCTGCCAAACACTGGGAAGGCTTCAGTGCACATTCTGGTCAATCCCAACTGATTCTGGGCTAGCAGTTCTTGCTAGGTTCTTCCCTCCCTGTTTATTTGGTTCTATAAACATGGAAGGCATCTATTTGAAATCTGGACACCCAGATCTGGATGGGCTGTCAGGCTGGACTGAAGGAGTCCACTTCAAAGATCATCCTTCATGGCTGGAAGGAAACTGAATAAAAAAGTTGAGGTCTGGCCGGGCGTGGTGGCTCATGCCTGTAATCCCAGCCCTTTGGGAGGCCAAGGTGGGGGGATCACCTGAGGTCAGGAGTTCGAGACCAGCCTGGCCAATATGGTGAAACCTTGTTTCTACTAAAAATTAGCTGGGCATGGTGGTGCATCCCTGTAATCCCAGCTACTCTGGAGGCTGAGGCAGGAGAATCACTTGAACCTGGGAGGCAGAGGTTGCAGTGAGCGAAGATCAGCCACTACCCTCAAGCCTGGGTGACAGAGCAAGACTACAAGACTCCATCTCAAAAAAATAAGTTGAGGTCTAGCCTCTGCTGGAGGCCTTGGGGCAGAAGACAGGGGTCATGTGGTTGGCCAACCCTCCTGCTCAGCCTCTGTACTTCCTATGCATGTCACTTCTGCTTGGATGTCCAGAAATTTCTAAAGCACCCTCAGGATTGTGTTCAGACACTTTAGGGAGGCCTATGGGATGCTGCTTTCATGTGTGCTCTTGGAGTGCAGTGATGAGTTGGGGGGTTGCTGACACTTCCCCTGATGAGACAATCGCCTTGCCTGGAGAACGCTTTGCTTAGCTCGGTCAGGGGTGTGTTTTTCCATCCTCCTCGGTGTGAACTTCTGGGGTTAGTTTTGTGTCACTTTGGATCTTGGTGAAACAACACGCAAAAGGAAGATTAATGGAAAAACTCTCCTCCCAACTGCCTGGAAAATATGTTCCCCTTTTCAGCATGAGAACTAAGAGGAGTGTCAGCTGAATGGTCTGAAGAGAAGAGGAAGTTAATGTTCTCTGTCTTAGCTCAGGCGCCTGCTCTGCCCTTTTTACTGGGTCCCTCCCCTGAGTAGGACTTTACTTTTTTTTTCTTCTAACGGTCTCTATTGGGCCTCAGAGGTATCAAATCTGTCAGCAACTGACTTCTGTTCAGCACCCATCCTGTGCAAGTCCTGGGCAGGCTGCTCTCTTGACATCTGATCTGTGGGACAAGCCTGCATGGAAGATTAAAGTAACTTTATTTTACAGATTAGGAAATTGAGGCTCAGGGAATTAATTATCTTCCTGGAGGTCACACAGCAGCTAGATGATGAAGCTGAAATTCAGATCTAGTCTCTGTGGGTTCTTCCTGTAATGCTGCATGATGCAAGTTCCTGGCATAGGGCGTGGCACACTGCAAAGCTCACACATGTGAAAGAATGAAAGAAGAAAGGAGCCTGTGAATGGAGGCCTCTGTAGGCTCCATGAGCTGGGTTGACGTCATTTTAACATTTTTACTTCTCATGAGGCCTTCTCATCACAATGCCTCCATTTCCTTGTCAGCATAACTGACAGGAAAATGGTTGTTCCTGCCTGTGACTCTGGTTGGTGGGAGATTGTGAGGGAACAAGGAGGGCTTATGAGTTAGGATAGTGAAGCCACTTAGCTGACAGTGTGACCTCATGAAGGATACCTAACATCTCTGAACCAACACAATAGGCAAGAGAAGTTCCTTCACCTTGATATTTTTGTGAAGATTAAATGAATGTATGAATGGATGCATATGGTAAATAAATAATTATATGCAAAGATCAGATACCAGAGGTATTTAGGAAAGCCTCTGGTACATGGCGGTGCTTAGTCATCATTTTGTTTTGGTTTATTTTAAAAACTTTAATTCAGGGAGTCTTGTGCCTCGGGGAGAGGAGGCATCTCATGGTATGGACATTTTGCTTGGCAGTGCATTTGTCTGGGAATTGGTCCTTTATTTGATTCTCAAAAAAGGGTTCATGATCTCAACATGCTTAAGAACCACTGCAGTTGAATTTGATTTTTGACCCATGGTTAAAAACCACTGAACTAAGAATATATTGTGTCTGCATATTCTTGGAATTATGCTGGGGGCTATTTAAAACAAAACAAGGAGAACATGAGGAATCTTTGCCTTTTCACATTTTAAATATGGTCAAACTTGTAAGTAGATGCACTGACAGAGGTATGCTCTTTGGAAGGTGGAGATGCATTGGCTGAATTAGGTACATATATAGATCAATACCAGAGATAATGTTTGAGGGGAGAATGTAGAAAAAATAGTTAAATATTCCCTAATAGTATTAAAGTAATAGATACTAGCTTTTCTATTTTAACATTTCTTCCAAGAGTGTATCTAATAGCCAGCTATTATTGGGCACTTACTAGCATCAGGGAGTGGGTCATTTGTTCTAAATGTTTGATCCTGTTTAATTCTTATGACCATGCTATGGAGTAGATACAAGCACAGTCATTGCTCCATATCCATGGGGAATTTGTTCCAGGACTCCCCATGGATACCAAAATTTATGAACACCCAAGTCCCTTATATAAAATAGCATAGTAGTTGCATACAACCCACACACATTCTCCTGAGTACTTTAAATCATCTCTAGATTACTTATAATACCTAAAACAATGCTCACACATCACTTCATTTGCATGAATTCAACATAGTATTCAACATGCAGCAAACTCAAGATTTGCTTTTGGAACTTTGCAGAATTTTTTTTCCCTAATATTTTCCATTTGTGGTTTATTGAATCCATGGATGTCAAACCCATGGATACAGAGGGTCAACTGTATTATCTCTATTTCATTTCTGAGGAAATTGTGATTCAGAGAGGTTAGATAACTTGCCCAGGTTACACAGCTAGTAAACAGCAATTCTCAAAATCATGAGTTGTCTGGGACTTGTCTTTGACAACGTCCTTATTCCTTTGGCATCTTTCTCAACCCAGAGTAGAGTGTGCGTCAGTTAAGATGCTTTTGACTAAAAGTAACAGAAATCCTCAGCTCAAGCTGTATCTTAAAAATAGGGAATTTTATTTTATCATATAACAGAGATGAGAGGTTCAGCGACTTTCAGGTAGGATATACCTAGGCTCTGCTTCATTTCTTTCTTGATTCTGCTCGCCTCTTTGTGCTAGTGTTGACCACAGGGGTGAGCAAGGTGTCTGAGGCACATTTAGCAATGTCTAGATGAAGAGCTAGGGATGGTCTCATCTTGTGTCTCCATAGGAAGAAGAATATAGTTTCCAGAAGGTTCAGGAAAATTGTCCTCATGTTCTGTTGCCAGGAATGGACACACGCCCATTCCTGAACCAATAACTGCTGAGGGGCATGTGCGTGGTTTGAATGTGCACCTCAAAAAGCATATGTTGGAAACATAACAGTGTTGGGAGGTGGGGTCTGATGAGAGATGAGTAGGCCATGAGGGTGGCGTAAATGGGTTCATGCAGTTATTACAGGAGTGGGTTTGTTATAGAAGGGCAGGTTCAGCCCCTTGTTACTCTCTCTTTCTTTCTCTTTGCTTTTCTGCCATGTGATGCTTTCTGCCATGTTATGACAGCAAGAAGGCCCTTGCCAGTGCCTTCCCCTTGATCTTGGACTTTCAAGCCTCCAGAACTGTGAGAAATAAATTTCTGTTCATTATAAATTACACAGTCTATGGTATTCTCTTCCAGCAGCACAAAACAGACTAAACAGGCGTGGAATTGCCATGACATGTTTATTAACCAGGTGGTGGTTGGATGAATGTTGGAAAGTCAACCCTACAAAGTAGGAGATCTTCAAAACAAGGAGTTTGGGGGTGCTGGTCTAGCTCCTTGGCCTTTCCTGATTGTGCCTCAGGTTCTTCATTTGTATAACAACTCTAATAGCATCTACCTCATGAGCTGTCCTAAGGATTGAATGAGATATTTGTCCAGATGATATTTGTTTTTCTTTTGGTAAGTTACCCAAATGCTACCACAAGGAAACTGGATAATTTGATAGGAAGGTTGAAAGAAGTGCCCTGTCCTCTCCCTGTGCTTAAGTGAGCATGTGACTCAGGGTAAGTCAGTTAGACTCTTTTTATGGAAATTTGAATGTTCAGCAGAGAGAGAATAATCTTTGAGAATGACTGGAGTTGATTCATCCTGTTGGGGGCAGACTGAAGAGGTCAGAGGCCAGCGCTCAGTTCCTTCTCCTGAGAGTCTCAGTACTACTGTGGGTCTTGTCCTCTCTGCGTTCTGTGGGCTTCTCAATGTTTTTTTTGGTCTTAGCTTGGGTTCCCTAGAAACAGAGCCTGAGGGAAATTCTTGTCATATGATTTATTGATGCCCTCGAAAGAAATCATAAAAAAGTGAGGGAAACAGAATAGGATGGGAGAAAAAGCTAAGTAAAGATGTTATCTCAGCTGGAGTCTGGCATCCGCTTAAGAGGCTGTGGGTTATGAATGGCACATCAGAGTAAGTTCTGCCTTCGGGCAAAGTGGTTGGCTTTTAAAATATCCCATATCAATCCAATGGGAGGTGAAGGATGAGCCCCCAGATGAGTGGACTCTTGTTGACAGAGGGCAGTTTTCTGAAGAAGGGGGCGGTTGTGCACTGTTTGTAACCAGTGCCCACAGCGGCCGGTAAAGGAGTGCCCTAAAGGTAAGAAGGATCTGGGTGGAGCACAAATAGCAACTATTAAAATTCCCAGTGTCTCCTTTTCTGCTTGAATTAGCCAGTATCAGTTTCTGTGGTTTGTGATGAAAGTGTCCTGACGAATGCATTCTGTAGAGTGCTGGGAGTTACTATTATTGCTGTTATTATTATTAGCCACGACTCCCTAATTCTGCTGAGAAGGTATGTAGCTTCTACAGAATGAGGGATGAAGAGCCTGCTACAAATCTTGTGTAAAATATATAATTAGTTCAGCATCAGACTACTCTTTTTAAGGGAAAAGTTACAGGGAAAGTATGAAACGATTGGAGTTGGTTTCTCAAAATTCTACTCATTTTTAATTAGAAAGAAAAATAGAACTGCAAAAGGAGACTGAGTAAGCGTTGTCTCTGAAACAACCCCCCTCAAGTCCCCTCTCATGCATAATTTAATTAAATGGTAGAATTTATTCTTTTAAGAGGAGAGTTTATCTGTTTGAATTCTGATCAAACGGCAGCACCCTGGACCTCATGTCCAAGGAAGAAAGAAATTGAAATATAAATTTTATTTGATGCCTGAAGTACATTATCTACTCTGCAAATATGTTATTTGAAATTTCCAAAGTTTCTCTTACCAGATATTGCTTTTTCACCCTGTCTGTGTAATTGCATTTCATTCAGAAACACTCGACATGCCAGGCTTTCTGCTAAGCAAATTTGAAAAAGCTTAGTTGAATCACTGTGATTCAGCCTTTGATGAGCTTACAGACTGGAAAAGGAAGTCTGAACATAAATACATATCTCACAGAAGAAAGCACTACATGTACTGCTGAAGAGCGATACAGACAAAAAGGCAACACAGGTTCAGAGGAGGTTTGGGAGACTTCCAGTGAGGGGCTTATGAAGGCATCAAGTGTTATCTGCGTGATACTGTGCACGGGCAAATGGCTGGAGTTTAGGCGTTCAGAGATGGGCCATTCACAGGGGCAGGAACAGCATCAGCAAAGACATCAAGGCAGGAAATATGTTTGGGAAGCATCAAGTGGCTTGGCTCAGCAAGTAGCCCTCTGAATATCAACATGACACTCCTGAGACACCTATGAGAATGGCTTGCTCACCAAGTGCAGGTCCAGCTGAGACACTCATGTCCACTGTCTGCTGTCTGTCATGATGGAGGACAAGCAAACATCAGGCAGGGAAAGATACAGGAGTCTAAGATCTAGGGGCAGTGGGAGGGCGGAAGAGTCTTTAGGGCTTTTCCTGAGGAGGTAACGAATTTGGCCTATGATGCAGGAGCCAAGTCAGGGGTGGTTTTAACAGGAGATTTTAAGACCCAGGCAAAGTGGAGAGCGAGATGCTGGGTATTGGAAACTAGGGGGCACAATATGCTGTCCTGATAAACTCTCCTGGGGCCATCTTTGGGAGATCATTCTTCTAGATGTCAAGGTCTAGGATTGGCACAGAGCTACAGAACAGGTTTTAATCCCTTAAAGCTAAGAACTCTGTGGTACTGAGACCCAACATGGCAGTTCCTCCTGCAACCAACCCAGCTGACCCGCCCAGCCTTACCTAGAGGTCTATGGAGTATCCCAGGGGCTTTTCTGTTGTCAGTTGCTGAAATTGCAAACTTTACTATCTGAGCAGGCTATACAGCCTCTCTTTATCTGTTTCTCACCTGTAACACAGGATGAATAACAAGATCTACTTCATGGAATTGTGTGGGTGAGGTAAGTTAATACATAGACACAACTTAGCATAGTGTGTGTCCATCCTTCTATTTATGTATCAACTCTAAATTCCAGTGGGGTAGCTGCAAGCCAGATGGTCCCAAGCAGGGAGTCAGAGCGATGGGACACATCTCCCAGGAACGGAGCATCCTGGGTACCACTGGAGACAGCCAGTACCACAGGCCAGCCTGCCACCTGGTGCTGGAGAGCAGAGGGCCACTCCCCAGCAGAGACCTGAGGCCACACTACCATCATCACATGGAAACTCCCATCTTGAATCCAGGCATGGAATTAATATGTGCACAGGGAAGGAAAAAAATATGAGTCTCTTGCCCCCCTTTTCAGTACCATCACATCCAGAGGGCTCTTCCCTGCAGTACCAGCTCCTTTTCAACCACGTGAGGAAATGGAATGGTTTTCTTGAAAGATTCTTGTGAAGAGGAAAATCTTTTTAGAAGAGGGATGATAAAACAATAGATGGGGAAGCATCTGAAGTGGAAAGACCTTGAATAGTAAAGGATCGAGGTTTCCATACGGTATCCTTGGGGCTGCCAGGACCAACAGAGAAGGAATGAATGTGCTGTCAAAGGAGGTTTGTCTGTTTGAGCAGCTTCAATGAAGAAGGCACTGACATCACTAAAGGGAAGTGAGAGGAAGCAAGAAGTGGGGCCCAGTGATGCTTTCAGATGACTGTCTTATTGACTACGGTTGACAGGATTGCTTGCAGCCCCAAGCCTCGAATCACAGGATTTCAGAAATGCACGAGCTGAGCTGGACACTGACCTACTTCTTATGGTCCATTTTCCTCCTGAGATATTTGTCTGCTCTTGAGCTGACATATTCCTTTACAGAGCCCTCGAGGTAATAGTACATAAAGCAAAGTGCTCACTAAATAAAAGACATCTATGCTCTCTATTATTATAAGGAATTGGTATTTAAATTTTACATCTCTTCTGGCCCACTCCATGGGCATCCTAGCCCTGGGTGTTCTTTCCCTCATGTGAATGCTATCACATTTCTTGGCTGTGATGCTTATTTGTTATTGAGTCTTAACCTGTCTTACCCCATCTCTTCTGTTATTAAAAGGCATTGCTACTTTATGATTTATTTCTTTATTTTGAATGATTCACCTATTTAGATTATTTTCTCCTTAGCTTGGCTGTTGTCAGGCTGTAGGATTGTGTCTTAGGTTACTTTTTATCCCATAAGTGATCCAAGCATGAGACTTTTCCCAGACTGGGCTTGAAAACAGTTTGTCTGTTTGATTTGGTTCCTACTGGGCTGTTATCCATGTTGAACACATATCAACCTGGGAGGTCTGATGGAGAAAAAGTCCTGTGCTGAGAGACAGGAGACCTGGTTTCTGATTCTCACATGAGCCATGAGACACAGGCCAAATCATAAGTCTCTCTATTTTATAGACTTTTCCATCTGTGAAATGATGGCAAAAAAAAAAAAAGTGCCCTAACTCTTAGGATTCTTGTAAGAACACACTGGGAGCAATAAAAAGAAAAGTGCTATATAAATGCAAGATATGTTTATTCATATTGATAATTCAAAGAGAGAACTCAGACGTTCCTGATAAGGAATCATTTTCAAGTACAATTCTTGCTACCAAGTTTGCATTTACACAATTGTTTCCCTCCCTAGATAAAACCACCTCATCTGCAGGGAACATGAACCCGTGGTTAAGCCAACCATTTAATTAACTTATAAAAGCTTTGTGGAACTCTAAAGAAAATATAATAGTAAATTGGTTTCCAAAACTTTCTAATAGGAAAACTCATTTCTTTGGTCCCATGTGGCACTGAAGTGCCAAATTGGCAAATCATGACTTTACTGTTAGATGGTTTTTTTTTTGTTTTTTGGTTGTTTGTTTAATTCCAGTAATGAAGTGTTGATGTAATGTTCTTTTTAAACATCAGCATTTTCTTTCTCCTACTGCTAAAGAGTCTAGATTCTAATTCTCTCCTTTTAGTCAAGCTGCAGAAATCCAATTCAAATTTTCTCACTACCTTATGTGTACCAGATACATGTAAGGACTGGGCAATAGGGTTTATAGTGTCAATAGGGGTCAACTGGGTCAAAAGGATCTTAAGGAGCATCCAGTCAAATAGGGAAGACAAATGGTAAACAACCCATTATAATTATATCTACAATTATGCATGTAACAATTCTCTAAAGCAGTATATGAGTCAGGGTGGGTTAGCTGATATAACAAACAGCCCCAATCTCCAGTGTCTTAACATAGTAAGAGGTTATTTCTTACTCATACACAGTCTAATATGCTTGTTCCTGGTTGGCTGTCTCTCTACCAAGTGGGGACACAAAGATCCAGGCGTATTCTGTCCTCCGATGCCACCATCTTCAACTTGTGGCCTGTAAGGTCACCATGAAAAGGGATAATAGCCTGGGCAAGGCACATGGGATTCTTAGCCGTCTTAATCTGATAGTGACACACATGACCTCTGCTCATATTCCATTGGCCACATAGATCCATCTAGTTACATGGACCAGCTGAGCTGCTGGGCAGCTGCTTCTCAGCCACAATAACACCATTCAAAAGGGACACATCTCTTAGGTGGATGATTAGCTGCCTCTGCCACGAGTAACACTATTTTTACAAGTGATAAACATTGAGGGGCTAAGTAACGTACCCAAGGTCATACAGCTGGTATGTTGAGAAACCAGATTTAAACCCAGTTTCTTTGCCCCAAAGCTCATGCTCTCCTCACCCCGTCACACTAACTTCCTTACCATAACTGTGTGACAGGCTCCGGCCATGGTTGGGCTCTATCTGCATGATCTGCCCATTGAACCCGTTTTTCCTGGTTTGAGCCTCTAGAAAGCTGGTCGTGCTGCTGCCTTAACTTTTTGGACTGATTTTCGTCACAGCTCTTGGCTGTGATTGGGTCTTGCTAGTTTTCCTCAACTCTCACCTCCAGGTGCACTCTCAGCACTGGACAAAGTTTTCATCTTTGTGACACAGAAAATCAAGAAATAGGATTAGAGCTTTTACAACTGCTGTTTGAAGAAGATAGCAGCAATTTGCCTATATAACTTCAGGTACTTTTAGCTATAAAAACTAGTTGTGTCATTTATTTTTTCAGAGTTTATAAACAAATTTATTTGTTTCTGAGAGCCATGATTTAGAACATTAAAAAGGTCCTCCTGGGAACCTAACTTGGGGGAAATGTGGCGAGAGGGCGGGACTCGGCCGCCCATGGGCATGTCACAAGATGCGCCCAGGCTCTCTGGGGTGGACTCTGCTCTGACTTCAGGCCAGAGTGTCTGCCCTGGCAGCAGCTTGACAGCTGAGTGGTTAGAAGGGCACGGCTGGGGAGATTCATTTGAAATCTTTCTTCTTCTTCCTTTTCACTGGCGTTTCTTCTGGCGTAGCCTCCTCTGCTATCTCTACCGGCTTTCGCAGCTTTTTCTTCCCTCTCCTCTTTTTGGGCTTCAGGGTGAAGTCGCACAGTCCCCAGCATCCTGAGCAGAGGCCTCTGAGCTGCTCCCCCGCACTCTTCTTGGCCCCCTGCTCCTGGGCCCTGTCCCTCTTGGGATTTTCCTCCGTATGCCTCTTGGCCTTAGGCTTTGGGGAGCTCTTCACATCCTTACCTGCTGCCTCTTTCTTTCTTTTCTTCATCTTTTTTCTATCCACCTGCGTGTTGGGAAGGTCAAGCCTGGATCTGGGACCTGGGGCTTGTTCTTCAGTGCTGCCTTCCGCTGGGCAAAGTACTCCTGGATGGTGAAGGCACCGGTTGTTGTGCTTTCGTTCTCGTCTGGAGTGGAGGAACTGTCATCGCCCTCAAGAGTCTTCTTACTGTCTTTTCCCAAAAATGCAGTCAAGATCTGTTTTGCTCCGAGATGATATATCCTTCCCTTTTGTGAATTTCATATAGTGAACATGGTTTTTGGAGATTTTGGAATTTTCCTCAAGGCTAAAAGATTTCTTTTCCTTCTTGTCTGAGGGGTCTGCGGTTTCCTGCCCACGGCAAGTGTTCAGTTCGGCCAGAAGCTGGTTAAAATCATCCTGATGTGCAATCCAGTTGTCTTCGTTATTGATGGTGGCTCCGAGTCCCAGGTGGTTATTTTTCACTTGAACTTTTATATGATCTGTGGCTCCTTGCTCCTGAGCCCCTAAACCCTTTCCTTTAGACCACCCCATCTTCTCTAGCATCCTCTGGCCAAACTTGGAATCATCATTACTCCAGGCAGTGTTCTGAGGATCCACAGCCCACTTCTCCTTTCACTGAGGCTCAGCCAGCATCGACATGTCGCAGAGTCTGTGACACCGCGGCATCTGGACCTGGGTGACTGCGGCCACTGGGCGGGCAGGAGGCTCGAGGAGAATCTGGACGCGCCTAACTCCCTCGCTGGCAGACTGCAGAGCCCGAGGCGCGTGCTGGTGACGTCAGTGGCGCGCCACTTGTATCATTTTCTGGTTCCGTTTCCTCCAGGCTAGTAAGCGGTCGGTTTCAAAGAACACACAGAGCTCTAGGAATTTAGATGTAAGAGACAATTCTGGGTTTGAAAAATGGAGCCAATTCATTTTGTGAGCATAAATATGTACATGGGGCTTCAATCAGAAGAAACAACAGATTTGTATAATGAACTCTGCAGCTAGCTCATCCTGACTCATACACTGTTTTAAGCTTTGGATGGACCACAGCAAAGGGCTGTGCTCACATTTACCCTGCCTGTTTCAGATGTATGAAACATCAGCCCCATCCACAAAACCCTTATTACATTGAATTCCAGTCCCTATGGCTGCAAAACAAATTACCTTCAAACTTAAATAACCATGTATTATGCTCATAGATGTGTGGGCTAATAATTCAAACTGGTAGGGATGGTTTGTATTTTTTTGTTTTTTTAATTTCTGGGGTCTCATTGAAAGACTCAGCAGCTGAGGGTTGAGATATCTGAAAGCTTATTCACGCACAAGTCTGATAGTTAATAATGGCTATTGGTTGGGGGTCTCACTTCCCCTTTACATGGACCTCTGGGTGTGTCTTTCTATGTGAGCTAGTTGGGCTTCCTTGCAAGCATGGTGGCTGGATTCCCAGGATGGACATCTTGAGAGAAAAAAAAGAGCCAAGTAGAGGTATGTTGTCTTTTTTCAGCTGTCCTTAGAATTTATGGAGCATTGATTCTGTCACATTTTATTCATTGAGACAGTCACAAAGTTCTCCCCAGGTTTAAGGGAAGGAAAGATAGACTCTGCCTCTTGATGGGGAGTAGCAGTGTTCTGGAAGAATGAGTAGGACTTGAAACATTGCTGTGGCTATATTTGGAAAATCTAATCTGCCATACCTTGCTTTCATTTTGATCCTTAGATCTGATTTAAATATTAGCTATCATATATTTGGTGCCCATGTGCCAGGTACCTTATACTCATTAAATTTAATCCTGACCCCAACTCTGCAAAGTAGGTCATGTTATGCCTTTTATAAATTAGGAAACTGAGACCCAGAGAAGTTAACTAACTTACCCAAAGACACAGAGCTAGCAAATGATAAAGTTAAGTTGCAAGACCAAGCCTGACCCACTCCAAATCTCATACTTTCCCCCACAGTTCCTATATGATTCCCAGTGGGGATGACTCATTCCTTTAATGAAAGGAAAGTTTGGCTGGGGAAGATTGGAGTGGTGGAGATGGGGTAAAGGGAAGTTCAGACACTTTGAATTAATGGTAATTTCCATGAAGGTGCTTGTTCTAATAATTTCCACCTTCCCAAGTCTACATATACTTAGAGCCCATCAAGTCAAGCTGATGTAATTTAAAACCCTCCCTGGTTTCCAAACAGCTGTAATACATTTACTTTGGTTCTCCAGCAAGTATAAAATATTACTCAAAGACCACAGGACTGTATAATGGGCAATAAAATCCACCCTTCTTCAGGTGGGCCAAGGAGAAACCATGGAAAGATTTTATTAGGATGACTAAAGAGTTCTTCATTCAAATCAAGATAATTTTTTTTCCTTTGAGACAGAGTCTTGCTCTGTTGCCCAGACTGGAGTGCAGTAGCATGATACCAGCTCCCTGCAACCTCTGCCTCGCGGGTTCAAGTGATTCTCCTGACTCAGCCTCCCGAGTAGCTGCGATTACAGACATGTGCCATCATGCCTGGCTAATTTTTGTATATGTAGTAGAGACAGGGTTTCACCATGTTGGCTAAGCTGGTCTTATACTTCTGCCCTCATGATATGCCTGCCTAGGCCTCCCAAAGTGCTGGGATTACAGGTGTGAGCCACCAGGCCCAGCCTAAATCAAGATACTTTTGAGAGTAAAAAGTGACACTGTTACAAGTCATTGACCCTGACATAATTATCATTATTTTGTTACTATGTTGATATTGTAGTTGAGGTATAGTGTAATGGTAAAGCATTTACCTTTTAAGAGGACGGCACAATGATTTTTTAAATATGTACACACTCATGTAATTAACTATTCTCCAGATCAAGATATAGAATACTTCAGCACACCCCTTCTCCAGCATAATTATTATTATGCCAGGACAATGACTGTAAACAAGTTCTGTCTTGGGCACATAGGGATGTATAGTCATCATCATCATGACCAATTCACAACCTGGCCTCTCTGGGGCTGGACAAGAAGGTGTTTATGCTCAGAAGTTATGGATTCTCAAAATCAAGATCCAGTAAAGTTTTTATTTTGGCCCAAGCCATGGCTGAAGCAGCCGAGAGGCAGGGCACCAAGTCCCTAGGCTGCACAGAGCAGGAGGGGCCTGGATCTGGCCCATGAAACCACTTTTTTCCTCCTAGGCCTCTGGGCCTGTGATGGGAGGGGCTGCTGTGAAAGTCTCTGACATGCCCGGGAGACATTTCCCCCATTGTCTTGGCGATTAACATTTGGGTTCTTGTAATTATGCAAATTTCTGCAACTGGCTTCAATTTCTCATCAGAAAAAGGGTTTTTCTTTTTCTATCACATTATCAGGCTGCAAATTTTTTGAACTTTTATGCTCTGATTCCCTTATTAAACATAATTTCCAATTTCAAACCATATCTTTGTGAGTACATAAAACTGAATGCTTTTAACAGCACGCAAGTTACCTCTTGAACATTGTGCTGCTTAGAAATTTCTTCCACCAGATGCTGTAAATCATCTCTCTCAAGTTCAAAGTTCCACAAGTCTCTAGGGCAGGAGCAAAATGCTGTCAGTCTCTTTGCTAAAACATAGCAAGAGTCACCTTTGCTCCAGTTCCCAACAAGTTCCTCATCTTCATCTGAGACCACCTCAACCTGGACTTCATTGTCCATTTCACTATCAGCATTTTGGTTAAAGCCACTCAGCAAGTCTCTAGGAATTTCCAAACTTTCCCACATCTTCCTGTCCTCTTCTGAGCCCTCCACACTGTTCCAGCCTCTGCCTGTTACCCATTTCCAAAGTTGCTTCCACATTTTTGGGTACCTCATTCTACCAGTACCAATTTACTGTATTAGACTGTTCTCATACTTCTAATAAAGACATATCTGAAACTGGTTAATTTATAAAGAAAAGAGTTTTAATGGACTCATAGTTCCACTTAGCTGGGAGGTCTCACAATCGTGGTGGAAGGCAAAGGAGACGCAAAGGCACATCTCACATGAAGAGAACAGTATGGGAGAAACTGCCCCCATTATTCAATTATCTCCACCTGGCCCCACTCTTGACATATGGGGATTATTACAGTTCGAGATGAGATTTTGGGTGGGGACACCGCAAACCATATCACTGGTGATGTTGGTAATGGCAGCTATGGTGGGTGGTGGTGTTAATGATGGTGGTAATACATGTATATATATTTTTAGAGAGGGTCTTCCTCTGTTACCCACGTTGCAGTGGAGCATCACAATCACAGCTCACTGTAGCCTGCAACTCCTGGACTCAAATGATCCTCCTGCCTCAGCCTCCCAAATGCTGGGATTACAGGCATGAGCCACTTAACCTGGCTGATAGTGATAGTACTGATGGTGAGAGTGATGTGTTGGTGGTTCTGGCAATGGTGAGCTGTGTGATGGAGGTGGTCATGGCGGTGGTGGTGATGGTAGGTTGTATGATTGTGGTGGAGGGGAGTGAAGATGGTGGTGATGATTAGTGGTGTTGCAGTGGTGATGGTGGGAATAGCATGTGGTATGGTAGTGGTGGTGGAAGTGGTGGTAGGTTGTGTGATGGAAGTGGAGGTGGTGATGGTGGCACTGATCATGGCTGGTGGTGAGATGGTGGTAGTGAAGGTGGCAGTATTGATAGTGGTGATGGTTGGTGCTGATGTTGGTCATAGTTGGTAGTGGTGAAATGCAATCGATCCTTTCTCTCCTAGGAGATCCCTGGGATTCTTTTCTAAATTATGCAGATCTTCCTGAGAGCCTTGCATGCCAGAGGAGGAACAACTTCCCTAATCAAATAAAAGGTGTTTTTCCCCAGCAGGAGCTTCCCAAGCTTACATTTTCCTAGCAAGGAGTTGCCCTGAAGATGTGCTCAATAGCTTTTTTGCTAAAGGAGAAGGGGAAAAAAATCCCTGGTTGCTACTTCACTACCCAATTTTTGGTTAAGTACGATCAACTATACACAGTTTTCATTCTACTTTATGGTTTCAGACATCCCTTGTCAAACCCATACTTGTCCTAATAAAGTCCCTAGTGAGTGAACCTCTTCAGGTATTAAAGACCGGGGGCCTGGGCAGGATGAAACTAATGGACAACTATGTTGTAAGGGATCTGGTGCCTTATCGACCTCCCTCAGCACTCCCAGACTGAACCTGCATAACAGGCTGTCTCCTGTATCTCTGACTGTAACTCCCATCCGCTGTGTGCCAGGCACCATGCTAAGTGCTTTTTATAAAGGATCTCAATGAATTCTTAGCAAAAACGGTGTGAGGGAAGCAATATTATTCCTACTATCAAGTTGAAGAGGCCAAAACTCAGAAAGGGGAAGTAACTTGCCTAAGATCACACAGCTGACAAGTGTGTGAGTAATAAGTGTGTGTAGGGAACGACCATACACATACTTACTGTGGCTCACCTCCTTGTTACAATTCGGTTGATCACAGATTGAAACACCCAGCAAGGACATCTTCTTTTTTTTTTTCTTTTTTTTTTTTTTTTTTTTTTTTTTTTGAGACAAGGTCTCACTCCTGTCGCCCAAGCTGGAGTGCAGTGACGTGGTCTCGGCTCACTGCAGCCTCAACTTCCTGTGCTCAGGTCTCCCACCTCAGAATCCTCAGCAGCTGGAACTGCAGGCAACTCCTAGGCTCAAGTGATCCACCTGCCTTGGCCTCTAGAAGTGTGGAGATTATAGGTGTGATCCACACACCTGACCTCTCTTTAAAAAAAACTGTAACTTTTAAGTTCAGGGATACATATACAGGTTAGTTACATAGGTAAACTGGTGTCATGGGGGTTTGTTGTACAGATTATTT